TGGTCTCGATCTCTTGACCTCGTGATCCACCCGCCTCGGCCTCCCAAGGGAGTCCAGTTCTTTTATTACTCCCTTTAAATCCCATTCCTTAAAATTCTTCTAGAGGGAAAAAACATCCTTATCGCAAGCAGCAGTGAAGCCAGTGCCAGGGAGCCCATCTTCCTGTGAATCCTACACACCATCAGGCTGACACACGATTCCAAAGGCATACCTAATTCTTTTTTTTTTTTTTTTTTTTTTATTACATTTTATTATTTTTTATTTTTTTTTCAAATTGAATCTTATTTTATTTATTTATTTATTTATTTTTCCCATTTATTTTCCTGCATTTTAGGTTTTGGGGTACATGTGAAGAACATGCAAGATTGTTGCATAGGTACACACGTGGCAGTGTGATTTACTGAACTCCTCTCCATTTGGCCCTAAATCATTCCTTCATTCAAGAGGCCTTTAATAAACACCCACATGGTAGGCTCTGTGCTGGGAGTGAAGGCAAAGAAGAAAGGGTCTCATTCGTTCTCAAGTGCTCACCACTGTCAAACCCACAAGGATAACACAATTATACAATTATGCTTGCAGTACAGTGGGATAAAGGTCAAGGCGTCAGCGCCAGGCTCTGTGAGGGTCTTCAAGAATGAACCTAATCTGGTCTAGGGCTGAGGGGGTGGTGCAGTCAGGGAGGTCTTCCCTGAGCCTTGAAGAATGAGGAGGAGTCACCAAAGTAACGAAGAAGCTTTTTGTGTGCTATTGTCTGAATGCTGTGATCCTCCAGAATGCTGATGTGGAATCCCTATTCCCAATGAGATGGCAGTAGGAGACAGAGTCTTCGGGAGATACTTGGGTCATGAGAGTGACCATGAAAGGCATTAGTGTCCTTAAAGAACAGACAGTACAGAGATGGTCTCTCTCTGCATTGTGAGGATACAGAAGACAGTTATCTGCAAACTGAGGAAGAGAGCTATCACCAAGCACTCAATCATGCTGGCACCCTGACTTTGGACTTCCAGCCTCCTGAACTGTGAGAATTAAATGTTCATTGTTTAAGCCACCCAGTCCTTGGTATTTTTGTTACAGCAGCCCAAAATGAGAGTGTACAAAGGCATAAAAGACAGCAAAGTGCGTTGAGAGAAACATACACAGGTAATGAGGGGAGAAGAGATTTTCTCACCCATCATTAGGTTTTATGCCTGAGACCACTGTAGCAAGAGAGAGATTAACAAGAGAAAAGCATACAAATGTATTTAATGTAAGTTTTAGGTGACACAGGAACCTTCATAAGAAAATTAATACCCAGAAACAGGTAAATTCGTGTATTTTTATGCTAGGATTGATGAAGTATGGACAGCCAAGGAAAAGTATGACTGGAAAAGGGGGTATGATCTAATGGTAATAAGGTGGAGAGAACTGAGCAAGGCCTGTTTGTTCAGATTCTTCTCTGTGTGCCGGTGTCCTCAAAGATGAGGGCATTCCTTTCCTCCATCCTATACTTACAGGATGAGCACCTCTCACTGGATGGTCTTATACAGAGGAAGGTCAAAGAATTCTTTTATGGCCTGCTTCAGGGAAGAAGAGTGGGAAGCTACAAAGTGACCTTCCTGCTTCAGTTGTTTCCTCTAATGCAAACATTTGGGGCAGTGTGTCCTCAAACCCGTCAACAGCAGAGTGAAAATTGGAGTGTCTAGAACAGGGGTTCTCAATCTTTAGTGTAGAACTTGTTAAAAACACAGAATCATGGGAACTGCCCCCTTCCCCAAGAGTCTCATTTGTTCTGGAATTCAGCTGTCATCTTCACTTTTAATAACATGTTGGCTGTAATGGAGGTCACTGCTACAGCAGACTTTGAGAAACAGTGGTTTAGAGATAAAGGATTGAGGGCCATGGTGGATTAGAAAAGACCTTCAACCCACACTATGGACTTAGGGTATTATTTTGAAGACAATGAAAAATCTTTAGTGGGCTTTAAGCAGGTGGGTGATATAATCATATCTGAACTGTTAAAAGACCACTTTATAGCAGAATGAAAAATGAAGTGGAAGTAGCTAAAATTAAAGCTAAGGGGAACCATTAGGAAGTAATTGCCATCGCAATCTCCAGGCACCTAAAAGAACAAACCAAGATAAAAGATGGATCTGGAAGTTTTGAGAAAATAGAAATTGGCAGCAATTGGTGGTCCACTGATTGTAGGAAATGAGAGAGGAGGAGCCAAGCCAGGTTTTTGTGGTTGGGTGACTGATTGAATAGAGACTTCAATCATTTAGATTTGGGTGGTGGGTGTGTGGAGGAAAGTAGTGCTGTTTAGGGGATACTGAATTTGACACGCCTGTGGAGCATCCAGGTGGAAATGTTTTTCTCACTAGAGGGTGAACCCCTCATGGGTAAGTTCTGTCTATCCATATGCAGCACCAGAACCTAGTAAAACGCCAGAATGAATGAACCAACCAATCCATCAATGGATCGGATACTATTGGCCCCATTTTGCAAGGGATTATGCTGAAACCCAAGAGACAGAGTAAGTGAGGGGCCACAAGTTAGCGATAGCTCTGGAACTCGAACCCAGGACAGCTGACTATCGCAGTGACCGCGGGATCTGCGCGGGGCCCTCCCCCGCCGCGCCGGCCAGGCCCGCACCCCTACCCTCAAGCAGCGCCGCCGCCCGCACCCACAACCCCAGACGCTCGGGTCCCCGCGGCTCCCGGGCCAGCGCGGCTCCGGAGGCTCCGCCCAGCGCCCAGGGCCCCCAACCCCACTCCCACCCCGCTCGCACGCCCGGTTCTAGCTCCCCGCTATCCGCTCCCCGCCTGCGCCGCTGCACTCACCACGGCTGGTCCCGCTCGCAGCTCTGCCTTTCCTGTGTGCTCCCTCCAGATTCCCCGGCTGGTTCAAGGGAAACCGCTACCGCCGCCCTCGCGTTCCGCCGCGGGGCTGAGAGCGCGCGCGAGCCGGGCCGGGGGCGGGAACCGGCTCGCCTGCCCAGGGGCGGTGGGGGTGGCTGGGCCCGCCGCCCTGGGGCTGCCTTTCCCCGCGATCCCTCGTTTATTGGCTCACTCATCCTTTCATCCATCTATCCTTTGCGTTATCATATTTGATGGGAAGCCTGCCAAGGTAACACTGTTTTAGCACCTGGAACTAAATCGGAAAATAAATTAACTAAATGAACAAGGCCATTGAAGACGGTGCTCCGTGCCACGAAGAAAATGGAAGGCAGGGCGGGCGGGGGGAGAACTGCGTGGAATTAGGCGGCCTGTGCTAGGCCTTCGGAGTGAGGGGCCGTTGGTCTGAGACCTGAATGTCAAGAAGGAGCACCTGAACCAAAGATCCAAGAGGGAGACAGCCTGGAGAGGGAAGGGCCTGTGCAAAAGCTCAGAAGCGAGGCAGGGAGAGCAAAGCAGAAAGGCCAAGCGAGGAAGCTGGAGAGGTGCAGACAGGCCGCGGCGGCCAGGAGTTTGGACGTGACATTACACAGAGCCAGAAGGCATTGAGGGGGTTCAGTCAGGGGCTGCTGGGGCTGGTTTCCATTTCACGCATCTCTCTGGCCACAGCGCCTGAATGGATTCTAGAGAGCAAGACAGCAACGGAGAAGCCAGGGCAATCCCAACCTCCAGTTTACACTCAATACTCGCCCCCCAAATTGGCGTGGGGACCAAGCCAGGTCCTTCTTCCTTCCAGCATTCGACCAGGCAAGGTCTCACTCTGTCACCCAGGCTACAGTACCGTGGCCAAATCTCGGCTCATTGCAACCACTGCTTCCCAGGTTCAAGTGATTCTCGTGCCTCAACCTCCCAAGCGATTGGGATTACAGGCGTGCGCCACTAGGCTCGGCTAAATTTTTTTGTATTTTTAGTAGAGACGGGGTTTCGCCATGTTGGTCAGGCTGGTCTCGAACTCCTGACCTCAAATGATCCACCCGCCTCAGCCTCCCAAAGTGCTGGGATTACAGGCGTGAACCATCACACCCGGCCAGTCAACCAACATTTGAGTGTGCGTTCCCCAACAGGCACTGGGGGTGTGCTCAGGTACAGTGCCCTTCATGGTTCCTGCCCCATGGAGCTTGCTATCTAGTCTGTGCATTTTCTACGTGTAGACATGCATCCAACCTATGACTCCCTAGGTGAATACTTAAAAAAAAAAAAATTCGAACATTCAGTGAGGTTATAGTGGAGTAAACATATTCCTTATGCCAGGTACACCAATAATCCTCATTGGGCCACACTATTTAGTAGCAGGAACTTTCTAGCCCTCTCTCCTGAGTTTCCACCTGTAAACTAGGGGACTGAGAACATTATCATTTTATGTGTGTAAGGCCATTTGTGAAGTCCCACACTTAGCCCCAGTACAAACCTCCAGTGTCCCATTCCTCCTCTCTGCCCATCCTAATCACATCCTTCCTGCAGAGCTCACTTTCATGCAGCCTTTCCTGATAGCCATGCTCTTGTTGACCTGCCCCTTTCTTGAATGATTGTAATATTTGTAGTCTGCCTCACTTATTTCTGCTATGCATCATGTATTTTTATCAGAAGAATGGAAAGATAGGAGATAAAGGGAATTTGAATACACACCTGCAGGTAGATGTGTAGGCTGGAATTTTGGAGACCTATACCAATTCTACTGTCTTCCAAATCCCGTTTTACTAGGATGCATACAGACTCCAGAATAATCTGACTCAAGCTCTAGCCATTCCTGAATGGGTTCCTGCAACCCAAAAGAAACCTGATACTCTGACTTAGGCATCCTCAAGAACTTCTGTTAGGCTGGGCACGGTGGCTTAAGCCTGTAATCCCAGCACTTTGGGAGGCTGAGGCAGGTAGATCTGAGGTCAGGAGTTCAAGACCAGCCTGGCCAACATGGTGAAACCCTGTCTCTACTAATAATACAAAAATTAGCCAGGTGTGGTGGCAGCTGCCTGTAATCCCAGCTACTTGGGAAGCTGAGACAGGAGGAGAATTGCTTGAACCTGGGAGGCGGAGGTTGCACTGAGCAAAGACCGTGCCATTGCACTCCAGCCTGAGCAAGAAAAGCAAAACTCTGCCTCAAAAAAAAAAAAAAAGAACAGTTAGTCAAGGACTGACATGAGTTCCATCTCATAGTCAGTCCTGGAAAGTTCCTTTGCTAATCCATGTTGAGGGTCTACGATGCCAGAGGAGACTCAGCTTTGACACCCTGGTCCTTAGATGCCTGTAACAGCACCTCAGGCAAAGTCCCTGAGACTCAATGGCACATTCATGCCACAGAGAAGACCAAAGACAGATCCAAATTTGCACAGCCAGAGAGAAGGGCTTGGCCTATGTAATTCCTTTTCCGTGTTCTTTGTTCATTATCACTAACAGCTGAGTGAGGTTCCCAAGGAGGAGAAAAGTCATCCCTAGCAGCTACTTGGAATTTGCCTTGGTCTTCAGCTCTGCCTGGGATCTTCAGAGAAGAACATTTTGCACTGTCAAAGACAGGGACTTGTGTCTCTTTTCACATCTAACACATTGTCACATATAATACTATACTTTTTGCATATTGAAATAAGCAACACATTGAAGTATGGGCCCCAGTTGCTTATACAATGAATCTATGTTCCCTTTAGAGTACTGAAGAAATGTACTGACTGACATCCAGTAACTAAGAAATGGAAGAGTCTTACTATATCTCAAGATCTCTAGCATTTTCCAAATACGGTGGCAGACCATCCCAGTAGCTTCTCATTTGTCCAGAGCCAATCCTGAGGTAACATAACATTCTCTTGGCCAGAATTTGTTTTGTTTGTTTTTAATTTTTTTTTTTTTTTTTTGAGACAGAGTCTCACTCTGTTGCCCAGGCTGGAGTGCCCTGGCCCAATCTCAGCTCACTTCCAACTCTGCCTCCCAGGTTCAAGCAATTCTCCTGCCTCAGCCTCCCGAGTAGCTGGGATTGCAGGTGTGGGCCACCACGCCCAGCTAAATTTTGTATTTTTAGCATAGATGGAGTTTCACTGTGTTGGCCAGGCTGGTGTCAAACTCCTGACCTCAGGTGATCTGCCCGTCTCAGCCTCCCAAAGTGCTGGGATTACAGTCTTAAGCCACCGTGCCTGGCCTTGGCTCAGAATCTGTTATTAAGGATGTGAGAGGGAAATGACTTTGGCCTAGAAATAGGATGAGAAGAAACTAAGACAGAAGTGCCATGGTCATTCAACAAGAAAGAGTTTTTCACTCTCCAATCAGATTGCTTCCTACTGTGGAAGAATGTTCAAGAACATGAGACAAGAGAGAAAGAATCGAGGTTTAAGGTAGTCCCACATTTTAATTTTTTGCTCATTGACAAGATACATAGAGATATGTAATTTTTTATATGTGTCTAAAAAATTCTCATACTTGCAACCTCCCTCTCAGTTGCTACATCAACTACATATAGCTAGAACAGCAATGATGGCATGCTAAATTGCTGCCAATTGATTACCTAGAAAGCAGGGACTGTGTGGCTCTCACTTCTCAGTTACCCCTCCCTGCCTTTGCCACTTCCCTGAAGCCCCTGAAATTGGTCAGCTTCACTCAACCTGGTGGTATAATAAAATCCATTGCAGGGATAGGATTTGGAGTGGTTGGTGAACCCACTGCTCTAGGGTCTGAAGCTTACAGGTGCAAAACAAAAAGGAAGGAAGACTGGTGGTATAAATAAACCAAAGGTAAATGGAGCCTCCTTCACCATTAATTCTTAGCTTCATTCGTAACTATTATGTTGTATTATTAAAATGTATTGTGCGTTTTATCTCTTTACCCAATATTCATTGCCCCCATTCTTCCTTCCTAATAGGAGCTAAATTCTGTTCAGACATCTACTGTTCACCTTCCAGCCCGTTTGCCTGTAACTACAAAGCAGGTGACTAGATAACCCCATTCCCCATTGCCAGGGGTTGGTTTACACTCACTTTAGGGAATCACAGTCATTCCTCTTCCATCTCCAGTGACTACATTAGGAATAGATCATGTTGCTCGATTTAGAACAGTCTTAAAAGGAAGTCTGCTGAGAGATCTATAGGAATGGTTTCCTTCTTCTTAAAAGGGAAATTTCCATTCAAGAAAGAAATGGCAATCAACATTAAAAACATTAGGCTAGGTGAGCTGGGCGCGGTGGTTCACACCTGTAATCCCAGCACTTTGGGAGACCGAGGCAGGTAGATCACCTGAAGTCAGGAGTTCGAGGCCAGCTGGCCAACATGGTGAACCCTCATCTCTACTAAAAATGGAAAATTAGCCGGGTGTGATGGTATCTGCTTATAATCACAGTCACCTGGGAGGCTGAGGCAGGAGAATCTCTGCAACCCAGGAGGCAGAGGCTGCAATGAGCCAAGGTCACGCCACTGCACTCCAGCCTGGGTGATAGAGTGAGACTCCATCTTAAAAAAAGAAAAAGAAAAAGCCATTATGGTAGGCGAAATAGGCCAGTCACAAAAGACCACATAGTGTATGACTCCCCTTACATGAAACCACCAGAAGTGGAAGATGCATGAAAATGAACATGGATTAGAGGCTGCCTAGGACAACAGCTGTAGGGAGGTTGGGGTGAAGTGGGAAATGACTGCTAATGGGCATGGAATTTGTTTTTAGGGTAATGCAAATGTTCTAAAAATTGATTTTGGTGGTGGTAGGACAGTTCTATGAATATACTAAAAATGAGTGAAACATAAATTTTAAGTGGGAAAATTGTATGGTATGTGAATTATATCTCAATAAAGCAATTTTTTTAAAAAAGAGAGATGGTTGCACTTTTCTCCTGTAGGATCATATATGTGTACATAATGCCTGAAACTGCTGTAGTCACTCTTCATCCGTGAAGGGAGCCAGCCCCGGGGCAAAGCCAACTCACAGAGACTGTCACAGGGAACAGATAAAGGGCCCAGGTCCTCAATGACATCACGGAACCAAATGGTTGTACTATGTCTGGAGTTTGCCCAAACTCTGGGACATCCTATTATGTGAAATAATAAATTCCCTTATTGTTTAGGCTAGAGTCAGGTTTTCTGTTCTCTGGAGCCATGAGCACCAACTTGATAAACTGCAAGCTATAGGCTATATTGGTAGATAAGAAAAACAA